TTTTCAGTTGCTAGGGAGAATTGACTCTCCCTGCCGCCCCATCTTTAGTTTGAGTCAATCCTTTCATAATGGCGTGAAGGCTACAGTCCACTAGGATGATCAATCTGAATCCGCAGCAGCATCAAACAAGTTAAGATTAATGCATGTGATAAGGCAGGGCTTCTCCCCAGCTGCCAAATTACTCATTGCTATACCCATGCTCTCTTTGATGCAGTTTTATTATTTATCTTAACAAACAAACACAACAGGTCCCCAGCTCACACTTCTCAACTTGAGCTCTCCCTGTCAGCTCTCCCAGAGGACTCTGGCAGTCCTGGTTCCTGCCTCTCTGGCTCATTCTACCTGAGCGAGTTCTTTCTCACAGTATCCCTGTTCCCTTCCAGATTTGTTCTCACTGAAACTCCCTTTGACCCTTTATAGCCCAGAAAAAGTCCCATCCCATTAATTAATGCTCTGGCACAGGTGTGCTGGACCTACTTCAGTCACAGGGGCCAGTCACCCTGTGACAGCATGTTAGTGTCTGTGGTCCCAGGTTATATGAAACTGATTTAATAAACGTTCAACAAATGGTCTCACTTTTTCCCCCTCATGGTGATGGGAGCGTGCATAATATTGTACTACATTATTTAAAACCATGACATTTTCAGTATGATTGGAACTTACCAGGAATTCAGTGCACTTTGCTGAGGATAAAAGTTCCCAGAGTTATTGAATCTAATAACAAATCATGTAAACATCTTAGATAGACAAACTGTAATAAGTGAAACCTTATAAATCCCTTTCAAAGAACAGAGACAGCTAAAAAGTTTTTATTCGCCATAGATTAAACAGAAAACTACCTTTTGGGATTCTGCATTTTGATGAATAAATTGGCATATTTTTGCTAACTTGCTTACTTTTAGAGGCTTAATCATCAGTTTTGGGTACACACATTGCCAAAAACAAAAGGAAGAAACAGTTTTAAATGTGCTTCTATACAAGTTATGCTTTATCAGTTATTCCTTTATAATCAATCCTTTTTTAATGCAGATACCTGTCTCTTCCATAATTGAGAATCACCATAATCAGAGGTTGAAATGGTATGACACAAGCTTTGAATCATTTGACTTTGAAGGCCTTCATGGTTTTCTGAGAACTTGGAACAGAATTTGGATACCTGGTTCTGTGCAGCCCGATGTTATAATGCCATCCTTGCCTAATGAAGGAGGTAGGCAAATTGATTATAGAACTCTTGTATTTTTAATATGGCTCATTAATGATGGTGTTTCAGCATGCTTGTAACTGTTAATCAATCTGAATCAAAGTTTACTAATATGTAACTGACTAGTAATTCGCATTGCTTTTGTACTATGGTTCTTTTAGTTATGGGCATTATTTTATGTATTGTTATCATAAATTGAACAATATGAATTCCATTAGTTTGTATGCTAATATTGTTCTGTGACCAAGAGTGAATTTGTACTGAAAATGAATATT